GTTTTAACTTATGGTTTTCCTCATGGCCAGACATTACTCGTGTATGTTCGGTGCAGCTGCCCACAACTTTAGTCCTGTACTTGTTGAATTTATCAAACCACCCCTGCTGGCTGCACCTATGCTGGTGCCTTCACCATCAGATGTTTGAACCATTAATACTTATAAAAAACCTTTCACTATCACAGGTTCACTCAGGCACTTTTTTCTGGTTCTAGTCTGTTCACCGAGTGCTTTCTCCATTTTATACCGTGTGGATCTCTGCTTTTGAATGTACAGTATAACGTACATTCTTATAACGTCGGCCTGCTTAATGTTGTTTTGGTACGTCGCTAATCTTTAGATACTCAGTACGTACAACGTCGTTTTGCGTCACCCTCTCTCGTCTGGCCACGCTATGCTCTCGGATCGGCTGCTACCTCTCACTCGCGGAACGTCACAGCGTCCACGACGCCAAGCCAGTCTCTGTTATGACTTCATATCATTTGTGTGTGCTTAAGTGCTTTTGCTCTAAAAACTGTACTCTAATCATTCAAAATGGCTTCCAAGCACCCATCAAGTGCTACTGATGCTAATGTAGTGAAGAGGCAACGTAAGACCATTACCCTTGCTATGAAAATGTGCTAGGTCTAACCACCACAACGGTGCATACTCTCCGGATCAACACGGACAAGATTAAGGTTAGTGCTGGAAGTGGTACTACTCTCAGTGCAACTAAAACAACTCGTACTAGAAGAACTTTGATAGAAGAGGTGGAAAAGATGCTGCTATGTGGACGGAGGACCAGAATCAACGCAATGCGCCTGTGAGCCGTATGGTTATCCAGCATAAGGCCAGATCCTTGTTTGACGACATGAAGGAAACAGAGGGTGAAGGATTGATGGAAGAGACCTATACGGCCAGCCGAGGCTGGTTTCAACGATTTAAGCGTCGTTATAACTTCCACAACATAAAGATGACTGGTGAAGCTGCTAGTTCAGATACGGTTGCTGCCGAGACATTCCTGCCAGAATTCAAACGGATTATCCAGGAAGGAGGCTACTCATCGAAGCAAATCTTCAATGTGGATGAGACTGGTCTCTTTTGGAAGAGGATACCTGAGAGGACCTATATCTCCAAGGAGAAAAGAGCGGCAGGTTTTAAAGCGGCACAAGACCGCTTGACGTTGCTGCTTGGTGCGAAGACTGTCAGCGACTTCAAGCTGAAGCTAACCCACGGGCCCTGAAAGGTTACTCTAAGGATCATCTTCCTGTCATTTACAAGGCAAACAAGAAGGCATGGATAACCGGCGCCATATTTAGCCAGTAGTTAAAAGGTGTAAGCCGTCCCTGCAATGAAGGAATACTGTGCCAAGGAAGAACCTTGACTTCAAAATTCTTCTGATCGTTGACAATGCTCCAGCTCATACTCCCAATCTCGACAACTTGCATGACAGTATCAAAGTTGTATTTCTACCTCCCAACACGACAGCACTGATGCAGCCTATGGACCAAGGCGTCATTGACGCATTCAAGGCGTATTATTTATGCCGTACCATGGACCAGCTGCTCAAGGCTACAGACGGAGAAAATAAACCTACGATCCGAGAATATTGGCGTGGCTTCAACATTCTTCATGCAATTGACAACATTGGCAAGGCATGGGAAGAGATTTCAGAAAGTTGCCCAAATAGTGTGTGGCGTAAATTGTGGCCCGAGTGCATCAACAGTTTTACGGGATTCATAGACTTGGTCCCAGCAGTGAATAGGGATATCCTCAGCTTGGCTAGACAGACAGGCTTTGATGAACTGGAATCAGAGGCTATTGAGGAAGTCCTGGCATCCCATACAAATGAGCTATTGAAGATCTGCAACTGCTAAGAGAACACACTCCCGTTGAAGACGACGACGAAGAAATTGCACAACGAACGCTAACTGCCAAGAGGATGGCAGAAGCGTTCAACATGACCCAGCAAGGTATGCAAAACCTTATTGATGACGACCCAAACAGAGAACGTAGCTCAAAGATTCAACACAGCATTGATGACAGTCTAGGCTGTTACACTGAGATCTACAAGGATAAAAAGAAGAGTAGCACCAAGCAGTCAACGCTGGATTAATTTTTTCGTCGTGGGACGGCAGAAGCAGCATCTTCACAAAAGCCGGCAGCCGAGGAGGAGCAAACAGCGGCGCAGGAACCCCAGTCAGAACAGGAGGAGGAGGAGGAGGCAGCCGCAGTCTCAGTGACTCGCCACCCTCCTCCTCTGCTCCCACCACCCGCCTCCTTCACTTCACTACCCACCACACACTCACTCTACCACCTCTGCCCATCAGTGAGTACCAATACAAACTTAGAAGTTGCATATGCATGCACTATTTTCTAAAGAAATGGCAATGATTTTCTGTATATGTAACGTATTTCATGGGGCAAAGGGAGGCTCAGGAACGTAACTCCTGTATTTTATCTATTTCTTATGGGGAAAATTGATCCACTTAACGTTGTTTTGTATAACGTCGCATTTTTAGGAACATAACCCCGACATTAAATGAGTACTTACTGTATATTTAGCACTTGCAGGGCATACTTCCTGAAGCATATGGCCAGATTTTGGCCTCAGTAGTACACATAAGACTCATTAATACAGTACCATGCCATTGAAGCTTTACCTTCACCTCTACCCTCAAGGCCATCACTACTCGCCTTTGTTTGCTTATAAGGAAACATTATGGGGAAAAATCACAGGTTTACAAATGAATGAGTGAGGCTCGATGGAAAAAAAATGCTAAAATGTAAACTTTTATTCTAAGGTAGTAGCCAGCTATCATATGGAGGTACTACCGCCTGGGAAGATATTGGAAGCATAATGTTTAGTCTAATGGTAGACCCTGCTACCATCTGTGACCAAGTCCCAGGTTGCTGATCTGACTTTCTGCCTCATTTACACACAATTGCAGGGTCTCAATTGTTTTTCTTACCATTGACAACACAACATACATACAGAGGTCCCTTGGTTAACGAACACAATTCGTTCCACAGAGTTGTTCGTTAACCGAATCCATTGTTTCAATAGGATATTGGGTAATTGGTTCTAGCTCACATTAAAGTACATACAGTGAGTTCTGCTATAACGCGTGTTTTGATAACGCGAATTTGCTCTAACGCGATTTATGAATTCGGAACAATATTTGTATAACGCGAACGCCTGTTTGCTATAACGCGATTTTTGCTTACTATTTCTCCAATTTTGTGGTATTAACTGTGAATATGGTAAAGAAGAATATCTCCAAAAAGCATTCTGATGATAGAATTCCCGGTGATTATCGTAAAAGAAAGGATATAACACTTGAAGAGAAGCTTGATGTTATCAACCTCAAAATCACCCTTCTCCCCATCAAGTTACATTCATATTTTTTCAAGGTAAAGTGTTAAATTTACTGTATGATTTCATTATTAGATATGAATGTAACATTTATTTAGACTGTGCTATCCTTTGTGTTAGGCTAACTACTAAATTTTTTCGATTTCGAGTAATCTGCACCTAACCCTATTTTCTCCATAAGCCCTGTTATTTCTATTACGCGATTTTCTATAACACGATATTTTACAAGAACACAATTATCGCGTTATAGCAGAACTACCTGTACAAAGTAAAAAAATAAATGTAGTAAAGTACACTTACTTTGAGGTGTGTATGTAGAAGGTTCCTGGTTGATGATGATGATGGGAATTAGAAGTGGAGGAGAAGGGAGAAGAGAAGGAAGTGGGGATGGAGGAGAAATCACCTTCCAGGGGACCCATGCTTGATGCAGTAGTTTCACCAATAAAATTTTAAGTTCACTCGGTGTAATTCAAGATTATTTTATTTAAATTAACACTGCACTGCGCTATATATTATCAATATGTTAACTAAATTTTTGAATGACCAACAATTTTAATGTAAAAATGCAAAAATATTCAAGACACCAACAAAATTGATGCTCACTCCACTGTAAAGAAAGCCAGACTGACGCCTGGTGGCTGAGTCAAGTGGCTGATGGGCGCGCAAAAAACTAGTTCCCTGTACTGCATATATTATCATTATGTTAACTAAATTTAAAATGACTAATAATTGTAATATAAAAAATACAAAAATATTAAAGAGCACAACTTTCTTGATATTTACTCCAGTGGAAACAAATGTAAACATAGAACAGATTACTGAAATGGCAGACTAGCCCATCAGCTGATGCTCACAACAAAACATGTTTGTCGTAAGGATTTCGTTAACCGAAATTTCGTAAATTGAACCATTCGTTAACCGAGGGACCACTGTACATACATTATTTCTCACCCTTGATTTCTTTTTTGTATTTATGGTTATTATTATTATTATTATTTTTAGTTATACAGTAATTTGTATTTACTTTTATTAATTATCATTATTATTGTTGTTGTTGTTATTACCTGTATTATTATTATTATTACATTTTCACCCCTAGGCCCCGATGTGGGTCAGTGACCTGTGCCCGGGTGGGCTAATCCCCGCCAAAAAAAAAAATAAAAATAAATAAATAAAAATAAAATAAATAAAAAGATGGCAAATTAAAATTCCCAGACATGTCATTGACTTGTGAGTCTGCTACAGTGATTCTATGGATGGTAAAACATCTTTATTGTAACATTGGTGTAGTGCAATAGTCAGTTACGATGGACACCACCACCTTCATCATTAAAGGCCGCCTATTCTACTCCTTACGGTGATGAAGAGACGGATTTAGTTAAATAAACACTTAAATACTGTAACCCTGTGTTTACTAGTACCCAAATGTCACCCATTGATAACTTTGATGGCATTAGGGAAAACATTTCCTTATACAGTACCTTTAATATATACATGGTATATGGACCTCTTTTAGCAGTGATTCAGTTAGCTCTCTCTTCTCCAGGAATGCTAAGTGGGTATTACTGGATAACATTTTAAATACAGTACTGCACAAAATTAATATTTATTGCATCAACTTTATAGGTTGTGGTAAAGAGCAACACTTGAGTTCTATTTTACTTCAAACCACAAGATAAATACATATAAAAGTTACATAATAAATATCCCATAATATTGTTAATAAACACTATGTAGTTCTCCATTATACACAGACTTACTGTACTAAGGTTTTGTGTTTCATCCGTCACAGAATAACGTTAATTATTTATAAATTTTTCTGGGTCTCCGTTCAATTTTCTGCACCATGTTTGTCTTTACTGGTGGGTGTGCCTAACCTAACCTATGTACAAAATTGAAATCATTAGTCATTTCGTCATTTTAGTATTGAATTTTGTTGTTGCTGAACTTAATTTTGGCAAGTGATGTACCTTTCACCTATTTATTTCATTAATACTGTACATTTAAATACGGTACTGTATGTTCCTTTACTGTATGTTGTGAGGAAAAAGAAAACATATCTGTACAGAACAACCTCTTCATGTGACCTAAATCTATAATGTAACATAAAACTACATTAAATGAAGGGAAAACTATCACAGGACACACAGAGACCATGATAGGAACTCCTGCTGGTACACGCCAGGATTAGCTTCATCACCTTCATAACAATATTGACCTCTGAGAGTGGCATTCACTTGTTTCTCCTGAATCATGGTTACAGTAGTAATCAGTCTAGTTTTTGACTGTAGATGACAGTGCTTAATGGTAATCCATTCTGAAGCTTCCTAATTATATGAAATTTCTTCTCAACATTAAGTACAATGCACTTGAGACTTCTTGCATTTAACTCCTTCACTACTGGACACCATTTTTCTTAATTTATTTGGCCAACACCAGACAATTTTACAGAGACCCATGTACACAAGGGATTAAAGATGAAGCTCTGTTCAATGGAGTTTTTTACTTTGATGTGAACAATATCAAAGACAGCATAACGTCTTTTGTGAAAAATCCAAAAAATCACACACAAAGTCCACAATACAAAAAATAAAAGTCCCATGCAAGTGATAACATCATTTAGCAGAACACATGTCTTTATTTTTAAGTTTTTAAATGCAGACACTGGCCATGGTGACAAAGATGCTTAATTATATCAGAACTTGTTGTTTGCAATGTGTGATGTAGCAAAGACTAAGAGATGTTAGAATTTGATTGTTATAAATATTAAATGTCATGTTGTATCCAAAAGTGTTGTGATTTTGTTGGTTTTGGGTTTTTTTTTATTTGTAACTCTAAAGTAAACCTAAAACAAGTTATCAGTGTCTTTAATACTTGACTATAGCCCTTACATGTTTGAAATATGTACAAGTACAGTACAATGTAAGGTAAGCAAAGTGAAGTTACTTATCTTAAACTTGTAATTTATTTTGTGAAAACACTTAATAGTGAACATTATGAAGGTGAAGATTTCTTGTGTTAAATTATGTAGGCTACTGTGATAAAGGCATAAGATACTTTATTAATCTGGCTGATTAGTTTATAACAATACTGTACTGTACTGCACTGTACTTTACTGCACTGTACTGTACTGTACCATACCGTACTGTACCTTACTGCATTGTACCATACTGTATCTTACCGTACTGTACTGTACAGCATACTGTATTAGCAAATGTTAAATTTTTACTTCCTTCCTTTTACGTTTATCATATAAAAACCAAACTGTGATTTAAATCAATGATTTCTAAAAAAACTTTTGATTTAAATCAATGATTTATATCAACTTGATTTAAATAAACAAAAGCGTGCACACAATTATGACAACAGTGAAGATTTACTCTCAGCTGTTATTATACAGCACAGTAGACCCTTACAATTCGCGGGTTTGCGATTCGCAATTTTGACAATTGTCGGTAAGCAGATGGTGGCTAGCTTGCAAGCCTTTTCTCACAATCAACAATGCACCTGCAGCGTCTCTCTCCCTCTGTTTGCGCTCAACCAATGTTTCTGTGTGAAAATGGCCCCTAAAAGACTGCCTAGTGTCAGTGCTAGTGATGCTAGTGGAGTGAAATGTAAAAGGTAGATGTCAGTGATGACCCTGAGAAAGAAAGTTGAAATATTAGACAAGTTAAAAGAGAGGACGAGTGGTGCCGCAGCTGGTTTGTTGTTTGGTATAGGAATACAGTAGTGCACTAAGGTAGTATAAGTTGCTGCAGGTATTCGCAGTTTTGCCTATTTGTGCCATTCCTTGGAAACTAACCCACAAATAATATGGGTTTACTGTAGTGTATTGTACAATCATGCTCTATATCTACATACTATACTGGCCTATTCCTAAAAAAAAAAAAAAAAAAAAAAAAAAATTAGTCACTCTTCATACTGCAAGCATAATTCTTTTTAAAGAAACATAGTGAAAAAGGCCAAAATTGTATATAACTTTGGCACTGTTAAAAGTCAAAGAGATGAGCAAAAAAACTTAAATATTTTCAATCATACTGTACATTATTTAACTTTCATAATATTTATCATACTCACATTACTGGACTTGAGTTTCTTTATATGATTGTACTTGGAAGCAGCTTTCACACATACAGTACAGATGATTGAAACATGATAATACTAACTCTTCTAAAATAATAAGAGACAAACTCTTCAGCACCATGTATACACTCAACATTAGTGGTATCACAAGTTGAAATAGTTCACTTGTCCTCAACCGTCATCACAGCGGACCAAAAGAGGTGAACCTTGCACTGAACACTGACAATGCTACCTGGTTACTGGAGTAAATGTAACAAGACGGATAATAGAAACAAGCTAACTGCACAATTAACTGAACTTGTGGCTCATGTTATGTAGACCCAGTAGTATACACATACTGAATTAAACAGTGACCATTATCCAACTTTTCCCTGGTTTTAGTTTGCTCAAGCCTAAGTTAAAGCAAGGCAATTATGGTAGTGAAAGGCATATTAAAATTACTGTACTGTTTCTTCCTTTAGGAATCATATTAGATGTGTTGGGTTGATGAAGTGAAAGCAAGTCCTCCTGGCCTGATGGCCCATTAGGGGCATTGTGGATACTGGTAGTGTGGTGAGCACTGTATTCAACCTCCTTCACTAAACTTTGAGGAAATGCAACTCCCAAACACACATGAATTTTTGTACAAACTGAAGTTCAGGGGTTTAATGTGGCTTGACACTTATCTTTAGTCTCAGAGAGACAAAATAAATTACTTCTTTTTTACACACATTCCAAACACAGTACAGTGCTGTACCATGGTAACTCATATCCTGTGATATAACCCCTTAACTTCATACACTGGTCTTGATCTGTAAATATCAAGCAAAAAGATCTCCCAAGATCAAATTATAAATTTTTCAAATGCTTTGAATCTTTGCTTTGTTAAAGATATTTCCTTTTGTCAAAGCATTTTATTTGAATTAGTGTCAAAATTAGACTGTTGTGATAAGTTATCATAAATACTGTATCTGATTTTTAACTGTTTTGTTAGGCTTTGATGAGTTAAGTATTGTGACTATTACAATGTTACTTTACACTCGGTATATTTTATTTGTTGTCTCAACAATAAAATAAAAAATACATCTTTTACATAAATTATAAAATTAATATCCTTCAGAGATTCTCAAAAGCTGTACATATTAAGTAACTCATGCATTAAATAACTTAAAATAACTCATTGCACTGACTGTTGTGTGGTCTCCCCCTGAAAAACAAGTTATATATCTTGGTACTGTAATGCTCTCAACTCCCAGACATGAGTTTAATCCCATGGCCTTCCAGTGTGTGTTTATAACTTTATATCACCAAGAATGAAAAATCAAATACAGTACTAGGTATATAAAGGCAAGAGCTCTAGAATTAAAGATGGGAGGAAGGAAATAGCTAAATAGCACATATAGCACAGAACTGCAGTATATAATTAATAAAAATAACAAAGTCCAAGAATTGGATAGCATTAGGACAAAAGTACTGAAACACAGAGAGAAGATAATAATTATGTCAGATGGCATGAAAGTCTCCAGATAGGTGGTTGAAGAGAGGTTTTTCAGATGATATGGATAGCTGAGTAAGAGGGTGAGGAGGATTTAGAGCACAGTAATAGGTGCTAAGGGAAACTGTTCATAAGGAAAGATGGAACAATACATTAAGAAGATAAAGGCAACAGAGAAGGTGTAGAAGATGTGTAGTGACAAGGCAGCCTGGAGACTCTTTCACCACAACAACCACTCAAAAATGGAGCTTCTGGAGGAGTGAGGTATTTCACACCACATGATACACAGCCAGTGATTCATCAAGTCTAGACCACACAATAACTATTCAGTCTTTCCAGGTGAGTTGGCAACGTATGAAACTAAGACAGTGTATACTGTATTATACAAAAAATAGATTAGGCCAATAATTCTGCACAGTTACTTATGGTCTTGGAGGCACAACAGGTTTCTGTCTTGGAAGTACAGCAAATTCTGTTCTTTGGGATCAGGCCCTGGTCTTGGGGGTATAGTGGGCTCTGGTCTTGGGGGTATACTGGGCTCTGGTCTTGGGGATATGGTTAGTTCTGGTCTTGGTGGTACTTCAGGTTCTGGTCTTGGAGGAGAGTCAGGATTTGATTTTTGAGTTGTGGCAGTTACTTTTTTGTGGGTAATGGAAGGTTGAGGACTCTGAGACATGGTAAGATGTGCTCCTGAAGGCATAACAGGTACTGAAGAGATAATACTGTCTGTTCCCCCTCCATCCTGTGTTGGTTTTTGTACAGGGGGCAGCGGAGCTTTCCTTACTGGTACAAGTTTCACTGGAGAGTCACAAGATCCTTGCGGATGTATCTTGTATGAAGATTCATAGCCTCCATCAGTGCAATTTGAATCATGCCTAGATGGTTCGTCTTCCTTTCCAGCCAGAATAGTAAGATTTTGTGTTAGTTTTGATAGTTTATCTATGACGTCTTCATCACCGAGGGTGTGTGGTGATGTTGGTGCGCTTTCTGGCAACTGTCCTCTAGTAAGTGAAACACTGGGCCAGTAGTTGGCAGAATTTAAGTGATTCAACATTGGCACCTCAACCGATGCAGATTCAGGAGCCACTGTAAATGAGTTATGATGTGCCGAGTGGTTCAGGTCTATTGTGTTATGATGTAAAATATTTGAGTTTGAAGGAACTTTAATATTCTTTGGCGTGTATGTGACAGTTCTTACTGCCAGCTGCTGCTCATCTTCATCACCCCAAGGATTGATCTCCCAAGATTCAGTTGTGTTCTGATTCACTTCAGAAACTAAATTCTCGTTTGCTACACCATTCTCTAAAGCACTCCCTTTTTGACTAGGTTTCTTTTGTCTGCGACTGGTGCCAATGGACATCAACCACTGGCAGATTTTAGATACGAGTGGACAGCAACAGGAGTCAAGGCAGCGAGCGCAACAGGGGAAAGTTGGACCTATCCACTCACGTCCACGTTTGTTCCACCACTGCTGCATGTGTTCCCACAAACAGCAGAACAATATTAACAGCAGGAACACCACCATTGCAAATATCATTCCCGGGACTGAACTTGGAATGGATATGCATCTCTGGTTCACACACATCTGTAGTACAGTTGTGATAGCATATACAGTAAACTTAATTAAGAGCAAGAAATGAAATCAACAGATATCAAATAAATGAAAAGTAAATATTATAAGGCATTAAAAGTATATCTGAGTGATTATATTAATTCAAGAAGCAGTGATGCCTATATATAAACATACAAGAAAAAATACCATAAGTTGACTTACCTTGCCAGGACCACAAGAAGCACCATTAGGTGAGAGCCAGTAGCTAGGAGGATAATTGTTTGAAGACAAAATAGTCTTACATTCACCAAAGGAAACAATGCCATGTGGGAGCTTCACATCATCACCGTCTATGTAGCAGTGAAGTGTACCACACAGGGAATCCCTGCAGGAAAAGCAGTCTTAGAAAATGGAACAAAAACTGATATCAGATTGACTCCATGAATTGGGACAATAAGAGTGACTGTACTGTACTGATATTCTGAATAAAATATAAATTTTCAAGATTACAGCTGATAGGGTAATATTTGGGCAGATAAACCCCTTTCTCTCAAAATTAGAAATAATGTGTTTTAACTAATTTTGTAAATCAAAATAACACAAAAAAACCACAAAGTGCCATCAAACAATCATAGATGGTACTGAGCCACACACTCACAAGCTGTCGTCTTATAAAAGTAAAATACCCAAAAAATTCATTGATTACCCTTGGCAAAGAATATAGGAAATTTATTTTTACCTTAAATTTCTAAATAATCAATGGCGTATCCTCTCTTATATCCCCCCCCCCCCCCACATGGGTGCCAATTAATGGAAAAACTAAGTAGCCAATGATATATTAAAAATAAACCTAAAGAAGCTAGCTTTTATATTTTCTTAACTATATCTAAAGTTGGGAGGCCCCAAAATGTGGGGGGCTCTGTTCATCTACACCCTCTCAACTCTCCTATATCTGGCACTGCTTGTAATTAGCAATGCAAATCTAAATAAAAAAATTTAAGAATCATTAGGACAAGTACTGTCATGACTCCAAAAGTGCCACTGTGATTTTGACGTCATCTTAGAGAGGACAGTACTGTATAAATAATTTCTCTTACAGACGAACTGCCAGAAAAGGACTAAAGAGTGTTGTTGACATGACTTCAAAAGACCACAGATGTTTCTGTCATCACCAGACACAAATTTAAAGTTATCCATAAAAAACAAAAAAAAAACAACCATTAATTAAGAGGCTGGTAACTAACTCGGGAGAACAAGGTAGTGGTGTGTTGCTGTCTTCGTTCAAGATGCCACAGTTGCCTGCATAGTTACCCTGTGTGTTGGACTGGGTGTAGCACTGGGGTGAACCTGCCGATGCACTGCTACCCAATACATGCTGGCACCGACCTTCATGGCTGCCACATTCTCCCTTGTAGCAGTAGCCCTGAAACACTCATATCTTTAATAAGGAGGAGGATCAATATAATATAAAATTCTATTAAACATTAACTAAAAATGTTCAGTAACACACATCCAGCCTGGACACATACAAACCTTCTTGGTGAGGACAAGTACTGACCTTTCCTCCATTGCAGTAAGCTCCATCGTCTTCAAACACATCAAGTGGACAGAATTCCGAGTTCCCAGAGCAGTAGTCAGGGACATCACACTCGCCCTTGGCAGGACGACACACAGTCCACGCTGTCTTGGGTTTGCACGTCTGTAAGGAATATACTTCAAGTTATTCTGATATTCTAACGCAACACGATACAGTGTTTCTCTACACGTTAATTTTATATAAAAATGCTTGACATGAAAGACAACTGAAAAATATTTTAGAGATTGAAAAAAAAAAATATATAAACCAACATTGAAATATAATCTGACAACACTGTATAATCCTAACAACAGGATTCAGGCACCATGCCCAAAGGTACTCCACTAGACAGTGATGGTGCCAGGAGTACTGTACTGTATATGGCAGTCCAGGATCAAGAGGAAATTTATGTGAACAATGATCATGAGATGGAAGAAGATAGTAGAAAGTGAGTGAATGGGATAGAGATACTGTACTGTGGTTTTAAAGGTAGAAAAAGCTATTTAAAATTCTAAGTCTTTCTGACAAACTTGCTACTATACTTGTAATAATCAAAATTTTCTCCTTCAATCATTACGCAGAATATTTCAAACAAACTCACATCAGTGTCACAACATGATCCTGTAGCACATGTGGCATTGGTGACCAGCTTGCAAGAGAGAGCATTGCAACATGGGTTGTTGCAGTACTCTGAGGGACCACAGTCACACTCTTCACCTTCTTCAGTTACACCATTACCACAGCTGCTGCCAGAGTACAGCTGTGTTGGTATATTCTTTAGACAGTCAAAAGAATATTTATTGATACTCTTGGTGATGTTTTCCTTGCTGCACAAACTCCAGCTCATTTCCGTCATCAAGCTGTGGAATACAAAACTCTCAATAGAATAATCCAGTTCACTTGATCCATCCCACTCGTGTTGTTATGGACAAATTATAGTCTACTGTACATGTAGGTTTGTGTATACTGAGGTAGATTATTAGTCTACATGTAGTATATACCAAGGTAGACTATTACCACCATATACAGTAGGGTCGGGATATATCGCGAGATAAGGTCCAACGATGTTCGCTATATACTAAATCGCGATATATAATTACATGTAATCAATGGGGAAAATAGGGTTAGGTTCTGGAGGCCAAAAAAGTGACTAAACTTAACTTAACGAGTTCATTTTCTTACTAACTCGAGCACCAATAAACACTAGACTCGGAAACAACAGGCCATTTCAATATTAATATCAAGGAACACTAGACTCGGCAGCTGACGCACCATCCTGGAAACACCAGACTCTGCAGCAGTTGCCACACTGCCATCCTCACTTGACAATCCCACACCTAAATAAATGAACACCAAAAATATTAGCTACAGTATTAAATCTTTTCAATTAAGCTTTCCATTATCTTCACTTCACTTTTCACGTCACTAGCAACCCATTTACTCTCACCTTAGAAGTCGTAATCTGCAGCAGAGTCGGCTGCTTTCTCGTCACTCACTCAGAAAGACTGAGTGGGCGAGCGTGAATGCGTTTGTGAACAGCCACGGTGGCGCCTCTGGTGAGCAAATAACGCATTTGTTTGCCATTACGGTACATTTGAAAAATTTCCTGCTAATTTCCCTCACGAAATAAAAAAAATTATCGCTATATAAAGGAAAATTGAGATAATTTTGGTAAATGCGATATAAAAAAAATCATTATATAAAGTCATAATATATCCCGACCCTACTGTACTGTAGAAGAAAATACAACAAGACTGAGACCCTGATAGGAATTGTTTACTTTACCAACAGCTAAGATCAAGTTAGCATTTCTCTTTAGACATACTGGTAGAGCTCATCAAGTGTGGGTAGGTACTGCCCGCTGGTTTACCTTTAATTTACTTTTTACCTTTATCCTCTTTGCTGCTGATTGGTATTTTTAGTTCCTGGCCATAAAATAAAAGTAGCATAAAAAAGATTAGTGAATTTTAAAATATTACATATTGAGTTTTATTCATATCATTGTGACATTCTGATATATTAGAAGTGACCACTCATAAGCATCGCATTACTCTTGCATCAAGTTTCTAGACAAGGACCCTCTATAGGTATACGTTGAGATTTGGGAGATAAGGAGTTTGACATGTTCTTTCTGGAGATTAATGGCTTTCTTGAATAGACAACTGAGACTAACTATTGGGCATCAAAATGATCTAATTTCAGTAGTACTTACAAACTCCTGGCTATCCCCAAGGACGATATGACGGGATGCTATTTGTACTGTCAGACTCGACACTCACTTACTTGACAAGTGTTACTAACAATAAAGACAGTTGAAGCTTTCAACATCACTCACAAAGGATCTTGAATGCTTTAACTGTAATCAGACATATCTAAGTTGACTCAAAACAATGGTGTTCTCTCTCACATTCAAATTCACTTTATACAGAAGTTGGTTTCAAGAAGTCAGAGAAAATGAACGGCACCTAAGCTAGGGAGCGATGAGACAATGGACGCCTCAGATGGGAGACTCGATAAAGAAGGCATAGCTCCATGTTTTGTGGGCTATTGAGCGTAATATGAATCGTCCGATCTTACATTAACTGACGTGTACGACCGTGGTCATTACCTTATATTCAACTGCCTTAACACTGTTCCTCTACATGACCCCGTCACTGTAACACTACAGCATCTGTCTTAGTTTCACATTTCTACCGGTAACAACCTGCCGGACCTTCATCTATGGTTGGTAATTTCACATCACTTGAGTCCCCTTCCCTGCTTCCTCCTACACTATTAACACTCTTAATAATGCCATTACATTTTTGCTGCATTCCATAAACCACTGCCACGTAATAAACCTGAATATTTACACAAGCACTACAAAAGCTTTTGATCTGATTTGTTTATACTGTATTGATGAACTGATTTTTATCCTTCCTCCTTCCCTCATCATCATTTCTCTCTTATGTCTTATTCCTTTCTCCCTGTCTCACATAACTTATCCCCAATCTACCTCTCCCTCACTATCTTTCATGATAAGAACGTATCACCATTTCTCACCTGCCTCCAGCACCATCTCTTACACTGCCTCCAGCACCATCTCTTACACTGCCTCCAGCACCATCTCTTACACTGCCTCCAGCACCATCTCTTACACTGCCTCCAGCACCATCTCTTACACTGCCTCCAGCACCATCTCTTACACTGCCTCCAGCACCATCTCTTACACTGCCTCCAGCACCATCTCTTACACTGCCTCCAGCACCATCTCTTACACTGCCTCCAGCACCATCTCTTACACTGCCTCCAGCACCATCTCTTACACTGCCTCCAGCACCATCTCTTACACTGCCTCCAGCACCATCTCTTACACTGCCTCCAGCACCATCTCTTACACTGCCTCCAGCACCATCTCTTACACTGCCTCCAGCACCATCTCTTACACTGCCTCCAGCACCATCTCTTACACTGCCTCCAGCACCATCTCTTACACTGCCTCCAGCACCATCTCTTACACTGCCTCCAGCACCATCTCTTACACTGCCTCCAGCACCACTTACACTGCCTCCAGCACCATCTCTTACACTGCCTCTAGCACCATCTCTTACACTGCCTCCTGATCTCTACACTGCCTCTAGCACCATCTCTTACACTGCCTCCAGCACCATCTCTTACACTGCCTCAGCACCATCTCTTACACTGCCTCCAGCACCATCTCTTACACTGCCTCCAGCACCATCTCTTACACTGCCTCCAGCACCATCTCTTACACTGCCTCTAGCACTACTTCTCACACTGCCTCCAGCACCATCTCTTACACTGCCTCTAGCACCATCTCTACACTGCCTCTAGCACCATCTCTTACACTGCCTCCAGCACCATCTCTTACACTGCCTCCAGCACCATCTCCACTGCCTCTAGCACCATCTCTTACACTGCCTCTAGCACCATCTCTACACTGCCTCCAGCACCATCTCTACACTGCCTCCAGCACCATCTCTTACACTGCCTCAGCACCATCTCTTACACTGCCTCTAGCACCATTCTCACACTGCCTCCAGCACCATCTCTACACTGCCTCCAGCACCATTCTCACACTGCCTCCAGCACCATCTCTTACACTGCCTCCAGCACCATCTCTTACACTGCCTCCAGCACCACTTCTCACACTGCCTCCAGCACCATCTCTTACTGCCTCCAGCACCATCTCTTACACTGCCTCCAGCACCATCTCTTACACTGCCTCCAGCACCTCCTACACTGCCTCTAGCACCATCTCTAACACTGCCTCAGCACCATCTCTTGTTTTCACTGCCTCTAGCACCATCTCTACACTGCCTCTAGCACCATCTCTACACTGCCTCTAGCACCATCTCTACACTGCCTCTAGCACCATCTCTTACACTGCCTCTAGCACCATCTCTACACTGCCTCTCAGCACCATCTCTTACACTGCCTCCAGCACCATCTCTTACACTGCCTCTAGCACCATCTCTTACACTGCCTCTAGCACCATCTCTTACACTGCCTCTAGCACCATCTCTTACACTGCCTCTAGCACCATTCTTACACTGCCTCCAGCACCATCTCTACACTGCCTCAGCACCATCTCTTACACTGCCTCCAGCACCATCTCTACACTGCCTCCAGCACCATCTCTACACTGCCTAGCACCATCTCTCTCTAGCACCATCTCTTACCTGCCTCAGCATCTCTTACCTGTAGATCCTTTGCTTCTTCACGCCTCCAGCACCATCTCTTACACTGCCTCTAGCACCATCTCTTACACTGCCTCCAGCACCATCTCTTACACTGCCTCCAGCACCATCTCTTACACTGCCTCCAGCACCATCTCTTACACTGCCTCTAGCACCATCTCTACACTGCCTCCAGCACCATCTCTTACACTGCCTCAGACCATCTCACTGCCTCTAGCACCATCTCTACACTGCCCAGCACCATCTCTACACTGCCTCCAGCACCATCTCTACACTGCCAGCACCATCTCTTACACTGCCTCCAGCACCATCTCTTACATGCCTCCAGCACCATCTCTTACACTGCCTCCAGCACCATCTCTACACTGCCTCTAGCACCATCTCTTACACTGCCTCCAGCACCATCTCTTACACTGCCTCCAGCACCATCTCTACACTGCCTCTAGCACCATCTCTTACACTGCCTCCAGCACCATCTCTTACACTGCCTCCAGCACCATCTCTACACGCTTCCAGCACCATCTCTCACTGCCTCCAGCACCATCTCTACACTGCCTCTAGCACCATCTCTTACACTGCCTCCAGCACCATCTCTACACTGCCTCCAGCACCATCTCTACTGCCTCCAGCACACCACACTGCCTCTAGCACCATCTTACACTGCCTCCAGCACCATCTCTACACTGCCTCTAGCACCATCTCTTACACTGCCTCTAGCACCATCTCTAACACTGCCTCCAGCACCATCTCTACACTGCCTCCAGCACCATCCTTACACTGCCTCCAGCACCATCTCTTACACTGCCTCTAGCACCATCTCTTACACTGCCCAGCACCATCTCTTACACTGCCTCTAGCACCATCTCTTACACGCCTCCAGCACCATCTCTTACACTGCCTCCAGCACCATCTCACACACTGCCTCCAGCACCATCTCTTACACTGCCTCCAGCACCATCTCTACACTGCCTCCAGCACCATCTCTTACACTGCCTCCAGCACCATCTCTTACACTGCCTCCAGCACCATCTCTACACTGCCTCCAGCACCATCTCTACACTGCCTCCAGCACCATCTCTACACTGCCTCTAGCACCATCTCTTACACTGCCTCTAGCACCATCTCTTACACTGCCTCTAGCACCATCTCTACACTGCCTCCAGCACCATTCTTACACTGCCCAGCACCATCTTACACTGCCTCCAGCACCATCTCTTACACTGCCTCCAGCACCATCTCTACACTGCCTCCAGCACCATCTCTTACACTGCCTCTAGCACCATCTCTACACTGCCTCCAGCACCATCTCTTACACTGCCTCCAGCACCATCTCTTACACTGCCTCGCACCGGCCACTTACACTGCCTCTAGCACCATCTCTACACTGCCTCCAGCACCATCTCTTACACTGCCTCTAGCACCATCTCTACACTGCCTCTAGCACCATCTCTTACACTGCCTCCAGCACCATCTCTTACACTGCCTCCAGCACCACTTTACACTGCCTCTAGCACCATCTCTTACACTGCCTCCAGCACCATCTCTTACACTGCCTCCAGCACCATCTCCTGCCTCTCTTACACTGCCTCCAGCACCATCTCTTACACTGCCTCTAGCACCATCTCTTACACTGCCTCCAGCACCATCTCTTACACTGCCTCCAGCACCATCTCTTACACTGCCTCCAGCACCATCTCTTACACTGCCTCCAGCACCATCTCTTACACTGCCTCCAGCACCATCTCTTACACTGCCTCCAGCACCATCTCTTACACTGCCCAGCACCATCTCTCACTGCCTCTAGCACCATCTCTTACACTGCCTCTAGCACCATCTCTTACACTGCCTCCAGCACCATCTCTACACTGTCTGCACCATCTCCGCTAGCAATTTGCCTCCAGCACCATCTCTTCACTGTCTCTAGCACCATCTCTTACACTGCCTCAGCACCATCTCACTGCCTCCAGCACCATCTCTTACACTGCCCTACACCATCTCTACACTGCCTCCAGCACCATCTCTACACTGCTCAGCACCATTCTACACTGCCTCCAGCACCATCTCCCCACCTGCCTCTGCATCTCTACTGCCTCAGCACCATCTTACCTGCCCTAGCACCATCTCTTACACTGCCTCTAGCACCATCTCTTACACTGCCTCCAGCACCATCTCTTACACTGCCTCTAGCACCATCTCTTACACTGCCTCAGCACCATCTCTTACACTGCCTCCAGCACCATCTCTTACACTGCCTCCAGCACCATCTCTTACACTGCCTCCAGCACCATCTCTTACACTGCCTCTAGCACCATCTCTACACTGCCTCCAGCACCATCTCTACACTGTCTCTAGCACCATCTCTTACACTGCCTCCAGCACCATCTCTTACACTGCCTCCAGCACCATCTCTTACACTGCCTCTAGCACCATCTCTTACACTGCCTCCAGCACCATCTCTACACTGCCTCCAGCACCATCTCTTACACTGCCTCTAGCACCATCTCTTACACTGCCTCCAGCACCATCTCTTACACTGCCTCTAGCACCATCTCTTACACTGCCTCCAGCACCATCTCTTACACTGCCTCCAGCACCATCTCTTACCTGCTTCCAGCACCATCTCTTACATTGCCTCCGGGACTCATTATACAGGCATCATTGTAACACTGGCAGGATTTCTCCTCAACATGATTTAGGCCCAGGTTGTGGCCCATCTCGTGGGCCATTGTGCGAGCCACAGAGGTCCAGGTCCTTTTTTCATCTTGCACAATCCCAACTGAATAGTTATAACTGGAAGTAAGACAATTATTTACCACAAATACTTGTGCTTCTCATTTCTTTTAACAATGATGCTTGTTATTAAGGGATAATCTCAAGGTTTCAGAGTTGAACTACAATGCAATATACAGTTTTTGGAATCTCTTTCTCTTAGTGTGTGTGTGTGTGTGTGTGTGTGTGTGTGTGTGTGTGTGTGTGTGTGTGTGTGTGCTATGAAATTGAACCCTGAAAATAAACATGTACAAAAATTCCTGGTGTGTGTTTTGATATTATGTTATTATTAATGTCTTGTGATGCTATTAATTGAACCGTGAAAATAAGCATGTACAAAAATTCTGGTGTGTTGGGAGATACACTCCTTAACTTGCAGTGTTGGAGATACACCTCCTCCTTAACACAGTGTTGGGAGATGCCTCTCCTTAGCTTGGTGTTGAGTACACCTCCTTAACACAGTGTTGAGAATGCATCTCCCTTAACACAGTGTTGGGAGGCATCACCTCTCCTTAACACAGTGTTGGGGAGATGCACCTCCTCCTTAACACCCACCAGTCGGTGAGGCTCACCTCTCAGCAATACAGTCGGTGGGAGATACACCTCTCTTTAACACAGTGTTGAGGAGATACTGCCTCTCCCGTAACTTACAGTGTTGGGGAGATACACCTCCTCCTGCTGGTGTTGGGAATCACACTCTCAGCCAACACAGTGTTGAGAATGCACCTCTCCTTAACAGTGTTGGGGAGAATACCCTCCCCTTAACATTGGTGTTGGTACCTCTCCTTAACTTACACAGTGTTGAGGAGGCCTCACTTAACACAGTGTTGAGAATACACCTCTCCTTAACACAGTGTTGGGAGGCTCCACCTCCTTTTTAACACAGTGTTTGGAGATACGGTCTCAGCAACACGGTGTTGAGGCTCCCACCTCTCCTTAACTTGTTGGGGAGATACACCTCTCCTTTTACAGTGTTGAGAATCCCACCTCCCAGCAGTGGTGTTGGGGAGGGTCAGAGAGGCTCTGCCTCTCACTTAACACAGTGGGAGATACACCTCTCCCTTAACACAGTGTTGAGATACACCTCTCCTGTGTAGCTGCAGTGTTGAAGTCTGCCTCTCCATAACACCACAGTGTTGAGAATGCTTACAGTCGGTGGGAATGCCCTCCCCAGCTTACACGGTGTTGAGAGGCTCACTGCTTAACACAGTGTTGAGGAAAATACCTCTCCTTAACACCTGAATGTTGGGGAGATACACCTTTACAGTGTTGAGAATGCACACCTCCTGGTGTTGAGGCTCTTACCTCGACAACACACAGTGTTGGGGAGACCACCTCTCAGCACTTAACAGGTGTTGAGATGCCAACACACAGTGTTGAGAATGCACCTCTCTATAACACAGTGTTGGGAGGTCCCACTCTCCCCCAGCTTACAGTGTTGGAATACCTCTCCTTAACAGTGTTGAGGCCTCTCCTTAACCTGATGTTGAAGACTCCTTAACTTACAGTGTTGGGAGATTACGCTTGGCAGTGTTGAGAATACACCTTAACAGTGTTGGGAGTGCCTCTCCTTAACAGTGTTGAGATACCTCTCATAACACAGTGTTGAGAATGCACCCGCTCCTTAACACAGTGTTGGGGAGGCCTCTCCCTTAGCTTGCAGTGTTGGGGGTACCTCTCCCTTAACAGTGTTGGGGGCTCCCCACCCTCTCCCTTAACTTTGAAAGTGTTGGGGAATACTCTCGCCATTTTGGTGTTGAGAATCACCACTCTCATCCAGGCACGTGTTGGGGATACTGTCACTTGTTGGGAACTCCTCACTGAGGCACGGTGTTGAGAATACTTGCCTCTCCTTAACACAGTGTTGAGGGCTCTTGCCTCTCATAACACGAGAGTGTTGAGAGAATGCACCTCTCCTTAACACAGTGTTGAGATCACACCTCTCCTTAACACGGTGTTGAGAATGCACCTCTCACTTAACACAGTGTTGAGAGGCCACACTACTCCTTAACAGTGTTGAGAATACGCACTCCTTAAACACAGTTGTTTGAAGGAATCTTACCTCTCACTGGCACTGCAGTGTTGGGGATGCTCTCCCATAACACAGTGTTGAGAGAACCCACCTCTCTTTAGCAGTGTTGGGAGGCCACCCACTCTCCTTAACACGGTGTTTGAGAGGCTCTACCTTTCCTTTAACACGGTGTTGAGGCTACTCTCCTTAACCTTTTCATCAGTGTTGAGAATACACCTCTCACCAACACAGTGTTGGGCTGCCTCTCCCAACACGGTGTTTGGGGCTTCTGCACAGTGTTGAGAACTCCCACCTCTCCCCTTAACACAGTGTTGGGAGATGCACTCTCCCCAGCACAGTGTTGAGAATACCTCTCCTTAACCCGCAGTGTTGGAGATCGCACTCTCACTTAACACGGTCATTGGGAGATCTCTCATAACACAGTGGGAATACTCTCCTTAACACAGTGTTGAGATCTTTGCTCCTCCTTAACACAGTGTTGGGGAGAATGCCTCTCCCTTAACACAGTGTTGGGCTCTCTCCTTAACACAGTGTTGGGAGATGCACCTCTCCTTAACACAGTGTTGGAGGACTCTCTCCTTAACACGGTGTTTAGGAGTGCGCCTGCTCACTTAACACGGTGTTGGGAGACTCCCCTCTCCTTAACACAGTGTTGGAATACGCCTCTCTAACACAGTGTTGAGGCTCACCTCTCCTTAACACAGTGTTGGGGAGATACACCTCACTGCTGCAGTGTTGAGGCCACCTCTCCTTAACAAGTGTTGAGAATGCACCTCTCATAACACAGTGTTGAGGGGCTTTCCTGCCTCCTTAACACAGTGTTGGGAGACCTGCCTCTCCTTAACACAGTGTTGAGAATCACCTCTGCTTACAGTGTTAAGGGGAATGCCTCTCTTAACACAGTGTTTGAGGCTCTCTCCTTAGCTGCAGTGTTGAGAACCACCTCTCACTGCACAGTGTTGAGGAGAATACTCTCGCCAACAGTGTTGAGAATACCTCTCACCCAACACAGTGTTGGGGGGCTCCCCCACCTCTCCTTGCTTGCAGTGTTAAGGGGTCCGCATGTCCTTAACACAGTGTTGAGGCTCCCCTTAGCAGTGTTGAGAATACCTCTCCTTTAGTGTTGAGGGGCTCTGCTCCAGGCTGGCACAGGTGTTGGGAATGCACATGCCAGCACTGATTGTTGGGGAAGTGCCTCTCCTTGCTTTGATTAATTTGGAGATGCCTCTCTCCTTAACGCGATTTGAGTGCCTCTCCTTAACACAGTGTTGAGGAGATACACCTCTCCTTAACACAGTGTTGAGGAGGGCTCTCTCCTTAACACAGTCAGTGGAGGTGCCTCTCCCAACACCACAGTCAGTGATGTTGAAGAATACACCTCTCCTTAACACACAGTGTTGGGAGATGCCTCTCCTTAACACAGTGTTGAGGCCACCTCTCCCAGCTTACAGTGTTGGGAGGCCACCTCCTTAACACAGTGTTGAGAATACCTCTCCCTTAGCACAGTGTTGGGGAATGCACTCTCTGTAACACGGTGTTGGGAGATACCTCTCCTTAACACACAGTGTTGGGGAGATACACCTCTCCCCTTAACGCAGTGTTGGGAGATGCCTCTCCTTAACACAGTGTTGGAGACTCCACCTCACTTAACACAGTGTTGAAGGAGAATACACTCTCCTTAACACAGTGTTGGGGAGGCTCACCTCTCTCCTTAACACAGTGTTGAGAGGAATGCACCTCTCCTTAACACAGTGTTTGAGGACACCTCTCCTTAACACGTGTTGAGAATGCACCTCTCCTTAACACAGTGTTGAGGCTCCTCTCATAACTTTTACAGTGTTTGAGAATACATCTCCTTGGCACACAGTGTTTGGGAGATAACCTTGGCTTTTGATTATTTGGGAATGCCTCCTCCAACACCGGTGTTGAAGACTCCTCTCTCCTTAACACGGTGTTGGGAGATACACTCATCATAACACGAGGTAACTCCCCACCTCACCAACCTTTGATGTTGGGGAATACACCTCTCCTTAACACAGTGTTGAGAGAGGCCGCACTACTCCTTAACACAGTGTTGAGGAAATGCACTCTCACTTAACGCAGGGTGTTGAGAATTTTCTCCTTAACACAGTGTTGGGGAAATTACTCTCCTGCTGCAGTGGTGGGAAGATACCCTCTCACTGGCATGTTGGGGAATACACTCTCCTTGGTGAGAAATTCCTTAACACAGTGTTTGAGGAGGCCACCTCTCACTGTGCTTTGCAGTGTTGGGGAAGGTCACCTCTCCTTAACACAGTGTTGGGAGAATACACCTCTCTCCTTGACACTGATGTTGAGGGAGATACCTACTTGACTTTTGGTGAAATACACTCCTCCTTCAATTTGGAGTACCTCTCCTTGGCAGTGTTGAGGGCTCTCTCGCAACACACAGTATTTGGGAGAATACTACTCCTTAACACAGTGTTGGGAGAATACCTCTCCCTTAACACAGTGTTGAGAACTCACCTCTCTGCTGCTGCAGTGTTGAGGCCACCTCTCCTTGTTTGCAGTGTTGAGAAATTTTCTCTCCCTTAACACAGTGTTGAGGAGAATACCTAGGAGAATACCTCTCCTTAGGACACAGTGTTGGAGATACACCTCTCCTTAACAGTGTTGAGAGGCTACCTCTCCTTAACACAGTGTTGGGAATACGCACTCTCCTTGCACAGTGTTGGGATCCTACAGTGTTGGATCACCTCCCTTACACAGTGTTGAGAGATACCTCTCCTTAACACAGTGTTGGGGGCTCCCCTTAACACAGTGTTGGGAGATACACCTCTCCTAACACAGTGTTGAGAATCACCTCTTTGAGTTTTGGGAGATACCTCTCTCTGTTTGAAATACTCTCTAGTGTTGAGAACCTCTCCTGTGTTGGGTACCTCTCCTTAACACAGTGTTGGTTTTTGTGAGATACGCCTCTCCTTAACACAGTGTTTGAGAAACCTCTCCTTAACACAGTGTTGGGGAATTTCTTACTCGTGTTGGGCTTACAGTGTTGAGGCTACTCTCTGTGTTGGGTCACCTCTCCTTAACACAGTGTTGGGGAGATACACCTCTCCTTAACACAGTGTTGGGGAGATACACCTCTCCTTAACACAGTGTTTCCCGGGTTTGAGAGATCACCTCTCCTTAACACAGTGTTGAGGATATCACTCTCCTTACAGTGTTGGGCTCTGAATCACATGTTTGTGGGAATACACACTCCTCATATTTTTGGTGATTTTGGTGCTCTCCCTAACTTGCAGTGTTTGAAACTCTCTCCTTGCTTGCAGTGTGGGGCACTCTCGCCCTTGCAGTGTTGAGATCACCTCTCCTTAACATCAGTGTTGAGAATACACCTCTCCTTTAACATAGTGTTGGGGAATCACCTCTCTGCTTCAGTGTTGGAATACACTCCTTAACACAGTGTTGAGAATCTCTCCTTAACACAGTGTTGGGAGATACACTCTCTCTTAACACAGTGTTGAGAATACCTCTCCTTTACAGTGTTTGGGGATACTCCTCTGTAACAGTGTTGGGGAGATGCACCTCTCCTTAACATTGGTGTTGGGAGAATACCTCTCCTAAGCACAGTGTTGGGGAGATGCACCTCTGCTGTGTTTGAGAATACACCTCTCCTTGCAGTGTTGGAGGCCCTCTCCCCAACACAGTGTTGGGGAGATACACCTCTCCTTAACACAGTGTTGGGGAGATACACCTCTCTAACACAGTGTTGGGGAGTACACCTCTCCTAACACAGTGTTGGGAGATCACCTCTAACACAGTGGTTGGGGAGATACACCTTCCTTAACACGCAGTGTGAGACTCACCTCTCCTAACACAGTGTTGGGAGATACACCTTAACTCAGTGTATATACACCTCCCAACACAGTGTTGGGGAGACATTCTCTCCTTAACACAGTGTTGGGGAGATACACTCTCCTAACACAGTGTATGTTGGGGAGATACACCTCTCCAACACAGTGTTGGGGAGATACACCTCTCCTTAACACAGTGTAGAGATACACCTTCCTTAACACAGTGTTGAGATACACCTCTCCTTAACACAGTGTTGGGGAGATATTTCTCCTTAACACAGTGTTGGGGAGATACACCCTCTCTAACACAGTGTTGGGAGATGCACCTCTCCTTAACACAGTGTTGGGAGATACACCTCTCCTTAACTTTGCGTTGGGGAGATACACCTCTCCAACACAGTGTTGGAGATACACCTCTCCTAACACAGTGTTGGGAGATACACCTCTCCTTAACACAGTGTTGGGGAGATACACCCTCCTTAACACAGTGTTGGGGAGATACACCTCTCCTTAACACAGTGTTGGGGAGATACACCTCTCCTAACACAGTGTTGGGAGATACACCTCTCCTTAACACAGCGTTGAGATACACCTCTCCAACACAGTGTTGGGAGATACACCTCTCTAACACAGTGTTGGAGATACATCCTCCCAACACAGTGTTGGGGAGATACACCTCCTTAACACAGTGTTGGGGAGATACACCTCTCCTTAACACAGTGTTGGGGAGATACACCTCTCCTTAACACAGTGTTGGGGAGATACACCTCTCCTTAACACAGTGTTGGGGAGATACACCTCTCCTTAACACAGTGTTGGGGAGATACACCTCTCCCCAACACAGTGTTGGGGAGATACACCTCTCCTTAACACAGTGTTGGGGAGATACACCTCTCCTTAACACAGTGTTGGGAGATACACCTCTCCTTAACACAGTGTTGGGGAGATACACCTCTCCTTAACACAGTGTTGGGGAGATACACCTCTCCTTAACACAGTGTTGGGGAGATACACCTCTCCTTAACACAGTGTTGGGGAGATACACCTCTCCTTAACACAGTGTTGGGGAGATACACCTCTCCTTAACACAGTGTTGGGGAGATACACCTCTCCTTAACACAGTGGCACAACAGTAATATCAGCCTCCAGGACACAGTGTCAAAACTCTCCTCCTACCAACACACAAGCTTCCCCAAGACAGTATCATGCCAGCTTTCAACCTCTGATATAATAACCCATTTATGTAATGCATCATTCATTTCACTTCAGTCTGTTTGCAAAATTTGATGACAAAATAAATATTAATATCAAATTTTATGTTAAGTTTATTGATCTTTGACTGATATTTCCTATAAAGAGTAGCACTGACTATCATATCTGGTAAGATGAGCTGATTGAAGTAGATATGAAAGTTTTCCTTCCAAAAATTAACCATATTTATGATAAAACAACAAATATAACTAACCTGCACATTCTGTCCAATGTTCCTTTTCCAACTACTCCATCAAAGTCAACAACCCTGGGAGGGAAAAGTAATGTAATGTAAACAAGGCGAGTTACCTGGCTCTTGTTGGGTGGAGGGACATTAGACCATCACCAATGCCACCTACCAAAGACCAGTGGGTGGGGGGTTATGGTCAAGTAAATACAGTACAGTACTGTACACTGTATACTAAGGCTCTGGTACAGTGTGGTTGGCACTATAATTACTTGTTATTTTCCCAACTGTATAATCAGGTACCCACTTACAGCTGGGTAGAATAGGGATACCCAAGGATCTAACCAGCGATCATTAGGACAAGTGGTGACTGCCAAATCCACTCGGCCAGCAAACCCCTAGAGTCTACACTGAGTACTGTTCTTAAAATACTGCCCCTCCTGGACGGTCAGAACATACTACTGTATATGACCAGCCTCTACGCCACCCACACCTCCCTACCAAACTTGAGCTTTAGATCTTCACTGCCTCTTACAACACTGTTTTGCATGATGGCTGTCAAGTGGCTCTGTTTATCTATAATAAAAAAAAAAAAATGCATTAAATGAATCAAGAACAGATGGACCTTAACGTGTTCCTGATAGTTGAAGATAAACAACTTTTATTACACTTTTTTGTGGTGGTGAAGCGAGTCTTTACTGACAGCCAGAGTCACATCACCTGTCTTACTACATCTGGTATTTTACTCACTCTTTATCACCTTTACAGGTTCCTCCGATTTACGACGGGGTTATGTTTCTGGGATATGCTCCCAGCCAGTCTGAAACCCACATGTATCACCCCCTCCCCCCCCAAAAAAAACCCTGCAATAATAATACACCACATCATTAAGAATAAGCCAGGTCGTCATCACATGTACAGCCACACTGTTTTCCTGGGTGCCTTGGCCTTCCCAGACACAGAAGCCTCAGCAACACGCTTGATAATCATCTTCAGAGTTACACTGCTCACTTCACAGTCACAAAAACAGAGCAAAAGCACTGTACATTCACAAAAACCGAATACAAATCAGTGTAAGGAGAAAATAAATGATAAGTAACAACAGAGATACTGACTGATAATAATCATTGAGTTATATGATCATGGGCATACGAGGTCTGTCCAAAAAGAAACCGAACTTTTTAAATAGCGCACCAACGAGCCGGCACAGCGTGCTCGCGACGGGTGCTCTGTGTGGCGGTGACCTTGACCTGTAGTCTAACACTAGCCGCATCACGCCAGGGTCAATTAGTCATCGAGCTGCACGTGTGTTTAGTGCACTTGGCGATTTGTTGCAAGTTGAACAATAAAGGACCTTGAAGAGCAACGTGTTTGCGTGAAATTCTGTTTCAAATTGGGAAAAACTTTTAAGGAGACTTTTCAAATGTTGCAACAGGCTTATGGGGAGGATTGCTTGAGCCGTACGCAATGTCATGTGTGGTATCAGCGTTTCAAAAGGGGAAGAACATCCACTGAAGACGATCCCAAATCTGGACGTCAGAGTCGCTCAAATGTGGAGGTGATGTTGATCGTCTTTTTTGATTGGAGAGCATCGTTCATCATGAGTTTGTTCCACGTGGTCACAGTCAATAAAGAGTTTTACTTGGAGGTCCTGAAGCATTTGAGGGGGGCAGTGCGAAGGATGAGGCCTGAGGCGTGGACAAACAAGACCTGGATGCTGCACCATGACAATGCACCTGCTCAAGCGTCGCTCCTTATCTGTGACTTTTTGGCGAAGACCGAGACGACTATCATCCCCCAGCCGCCCTACTCTCCGGATTTGGCCCCTGTGGACTTTTTTTTGTTCCCAAAGTTAATATCCACCCTAAAAGGTCGCCGATTTCAAACGATAGAAGAGTTAGAAGAAAATTCGCTACGAGACCTGCACACGATCCCTCAAGACGCATTCCAGGACGCGTTCCAGAACTGGAAAAAATCGTTGGGAGCAGTGTATCAACAGTGGAGGGGAGTACTTTGAAGGAGACAAGTCTGATTAAGTTGTAAGTAAAGCAATAAATTTGTTTTCTAAAAAGTTCGGTTTCTTTTTGGACAGACCTCGTATGCGATCACCATGGAACAAAGCATGGGACTGTAGTGCACTGGATGGCCGCATGGGGGTAGACCGCAGCTGACGAGTGCAGTGGGCGATGTGTTCCATATTCCACATGTCAGCAATTTTGGCCGGACGATAACCAGCATTCATGCAATTTTTTTTACCGTAAATAGGGGGAGAGGGGAAGGGGGGGAAGGGGGGAAGGGGAGGGGCAGTCTTAATACAACACCATTGTTCAAGTGTAATATCATAAATAGGGAGACTGTAAATTGGGGGATACTGTACCTGTACCGTAATCTAAAAAGTTTCATTATTGGCCAAACATTGAGGTGTGAAATAAAAGGTTCCATCCTGGCAGCACAGTCACAACCTATTCTTTGCCTTAAGTTAACCTCAAAACAGTATTTTAGTCATAGATAATGAATCCTGTCTGACATTAGTAGATCATCTGTGGGTTTCTAAGTTAACATATTATACTTTATATATATTTTTAATTCTGTTTGTAAAGAATTAACCAACAGTGTTTCTAGGAGTAAGAACTTAATATTAACACTCTTGGGATAGCCTGACATATACCGTATATCTCGGCCTATAAGGCGACGGGGTGCATAAGACGGCCCCCCAAATTTCCATTTAAAAAGTAGCTTTTGAGCTCTATTCGCTGTACGTATAAGACCGGTACCCCAAATGTGACACTTACCCACTGACTCAGTAGTCCTTTACCAACCATCCTTGGTTTTTTAAAATAAGTCCAATTCACTTCAAGTAATGTCATCAAATGTTACCCGCTGGTGTAGTGTAAACACTAGTGACGTCACTTAAGCGTCTGCTATTTACCGGTAACTGGAACTAATGTCGGTGTCGAGTAAAATTTTTCCATTTACTTGAAATGGATTTACCGATTTATTTGTTTATTTATTTATTTATAATATACTGTAACATATTAAACACACTGCAAGTATTTTCTTTAATTTATACGCTTGCTTCGCACGAGACGATCGGTGGTGGGAGTGTTCCCTCGTCTCGGTGGTGGGACTGTGTTCCGACTGTTTATACAACAGCTACCACCGTATTCTAATTGTGGTGTTTCATTAGGATTTGAGTGAAAAAGATTACGTACTTACAACATACATTTATTACACAAATATAAATATATATATATATATATATATATATATATATATATATATATATATATATATATATATATATATATATATATATATATATATATATATATATATATATATATATATATATATATATATATATATATATATATATATATATATATATATATATATATATATATGCTGTATAATGCTACACTCTGCTAGTGATTTACTTGCATGATCTAGGTATATGCTGATAACCACAAGGAAGAAAAAAACACGGTTCCCAAGGCTGTAATCTACATCTCAGTGTATACAGACCAAGGAGAAGTACAAAACAAGGTGTATATATATAGAGGAGTATATCAGGTATTAGGTAATGACCCTACTAATCTTTTAAATATATATATATATATATACTTATGGTATATTTAATATACTCATTCACACTATTTTATAATCGCAGTCATGTACTGAATATTCTATGTACAAAAAATAAATGTTAAATGAATTATTTATGGTGCATTAGGGTACTGGCCACTTCAGACGCAAAGACGGGCTATAAATAGCCTTCTTATCTACCCTCCATCTCACCCTGAGCCAGAGGGAGGGGTCTTGGTAAATAACATTTGTTTGCTTATTTTCCATTTACTTGAAATAGACTTACGGAATTATTTGTTTATTTATTTATCTATAATATACTGTAATATATTAAACACACTGTAATTATTTTCTTTAATTTATAAACTTGTTTTATGGCTA